ATTTTTTACATTTTACGTTGTATGCCTAATCTGATGTATTTTTATTTCCTCCTCGGGACACCAAAAGTTGCGTGACCATTTCCTGGTGAATTCCTTGATGGTCATGTGTGGCAAGAAATGTTAGAACGTTATGTTCCACATTTATCTAAATTTGAATTTTATATTTCAATTGTCAATAAGTATCCAAGATTAAATTTAGATATTGTTGTCAATTCATTTGAGTATTTTGTTAAAAAATATTTTAATTGGAATATAATTATTGATCGATGGGAATTTTATTGTCAACCTCGAGGTAAATAAAACTAATTTAAACAGTTAAAAAAACCCAGCGACAGTTAGTATTTACGATTATGCCGAGTTTTGTTGATACGCAATTTTTAAGCGAAAACATTGAGTTTGAGTGATATCTGATTCAGATAAATGAATATTTTGAAGAGGTATACTTTTGTAATTTAATATTATAGAAAAGAATTACATTCTTTATATTGAAAGATATTTCTTTTGTAGAAGAATTTGTTATGTTACGCACATTTAATTATCGAAAACACAAAGCAAGCTTATGTCTTGGGATTCCTTTTATTTATGGTGAATCGTTTGCAACACAATCAACAGAACCAAATAATCATCATCTTTTTTATTCTGATATTGAAAAATTAAGAGTATTCAAAACAAAGAAAATGCCAATTATTACTTGGTCTGCTGTTCGTTTTCAACAAATCAAATATCTGATTGTAGAAATGCCAATAATACGTTCATCATTGTGGAACAATTTATCCGATATTGGTAAGAAAAGTGTGTTTTTATAATATCCTCATCATTATACATCATATATAGATGTGCTTGATTATATAATGTCTTTTTGCTTTAGTTAAATTTAGTAAAACGAGTGATAATGATGTTGCACAACAAAGTGTTACTTATCTGTCATATTTTGTTCAGTTATCGCATGTATCTCAAATAGAATTTGGATCAACATTCGATATATCTAGATGGAAAGATGTTCGATTTATTTTACAGTAAGTTTGCTTTATATTTCTAGAATGAATATTTAGTTTTTTTATTTTAGAGCCTGTCCAAATGTGATTAATCTTATAATTGGTAGTCGATTATTGGTTTGATCAGAATTAATTGATAATCCATCTCTTATTCCAATCTTTAAACAAATTAAAATGATTGAATCAATAACAAAAAACATTTATTTTCCTTCAAATTTAGCATCAAAACTTGTTCAACGTTTTCCATCATTTATTCATATTGAACTTCAAGAATATTTCCAAAGAATACTTTTCATGAAGAGATGATTAATGTTAAAAATAATGGAGAAACTATTGAAATTTGGCTGTCTTAATTTTGTATATATAGGTGTCTGTTTTTGTTTAAATAATAATAAAATAATCATGAAATGAGAGTTCATTTGAACAACGAAGATGAATATATTAGATTTTGAAAAAATGATTTCTTTTAACTTTAATGTACCTATTTCTTTGGATTTTTCAAAAATATTGGCTAACCGTTCGTGTATCATTAGTTACATTGGAATCCTCTTTCTTAAATTAATTAAAGTTAGCTGTGTTTCCGTCTTTTGCACGAAAAGGTTTTTCATATTTTTTTCAATTGTAAGACACTATTACCTGTTGATAGTTAAAAGAAACTTTAAGATGTTCATCTGTCGGCGTTGCCAATCTGAGAGAGTTTGAAAGGTCAGGTAAGATCATTAAAATAACTACTGGAAGGTGTAACGACTCGAGTGATGAAAGCATTAAACCTTGATGGTATAAATGAGTAATACATGAGAAATTATTTATTTTGCTACTGACAAAGAAATAATAATCCTATGATAAACTGACTATCGTGAACAAATAAAAAACGTGTTTTTTTTTGCTGATAATCCAGTTTATGTTGATTGATATTTTCTTGATAATACCATATGAAGAAAGTTAGTTCGCAATTTATTTGTACAATGTGTCCCAAAAGTCACTTCCCAAAAGTTTTTTAGTATATCTTTACTATTTGGTTCAACCTTATCAACTACTAATTGTTTTTAAATGATAGAGGCATAGATCGAGTTTTTATTTACACGAACAAATCTCAAAAGCTCCCTTCAAAGGTATCATATCTAACTGAAATACAAAAAATTAGTCTTTTTCTATATGTAGAAAAAATATCGGGTGAAGCAGATTAAATGGCTGCACTTGATATTTCAATTTTCAGTCATTTAATACATTGTATTAAAAAAATATATCATACGATGCAGTGTGAAAAGCTTTATACAACTTACATAAGACCGAATATTGTATAGCTGCAGTTTTCGTTTTCAAAATGGACAAAACTTTGAGTGACGAAAATGTCAACCATGCGAACAGATCAATTTTTTAAACGAATGAACAATTCCTTTTTTTTTCCTTTTTTTTATCACCTAATATTCTTTTCTAAAAAAAGCAAAATACATCACCAGATACAGTTTGAAAAGTTCTATAATCTACAATGTAGAGCTTATTTTAATTGTGCGCTTTCTTTTCAAAAAAATCAAAATTCTCTGCGACCAATTTTCGTTGCTCTGAAAAAATCATTTTTCTAGACGAAGGAGAAATCTCTTTTTTCTTATTTTATCTTGCTGTCGCCTAATATGCTTTCATCAAAAAACAAAATATACAAGCACAAGATGCAACGTGAAAAGCTCTATAATTTACAAAGAACAGTTTATTTTATATATGAAATAACAAAAAAGAAAGGACGGGGCGCATAAGAACAGAAATCGGCCCGCGAACAGATTGTCATACGAGTCCATTTTCCGATGCAAAATTTTACGGCGAATCTTTTGATACTAAATTCAATATATTTTCGAAACCATTTCAGGCCTTTCGGCCCTTGCCAATTATACTCTATTTTTACACAGTATAGAACGATTATGTTTGTCAAAACCTAATTTGATAAAGCTTCAAATAGGGTCATCTGAAAAAGCGTAAAATTCTGCACAAAATCGTATATGAACCAGCTACAAATAATCAACATCAAGAAAAATTCCTAAGAGGCATTGCACGAAAGAAACGACCAAAATAGCATAACAGGTGCTCAATTGATATCTCAGATTTCCATGAAATTTTGTTCATATATAGCCAAAAGTGAGATGTGAAAACGCTAAAAATTTCAGCTTCTAAAACCGTTCCATTCTTGAGATATTGAAATCACAATGGATGCACCCTTAGCTAAAAAATGACGATAACCAATGCAGTACCCAGTCAGTGTATACTTCGCCATTTTTTAATCATGATGTTTTTTTGCAAGAAACTTTAAGGATATATACTACCATGGGTACCCTACAGATTGACGCAATCAAAACCATTTCCCCACTCGTTAGACGGTATGGAGATATTTCACATGTTCTAGATATACCCTCTACATTATGATCAGGATTTCTATCGCTTATGAGCGAGTTATAAGCTCCCGCTTTGAAACTAAGTACTAATACCCTGTAGCTATTAGGAACAATTTTCAAAACCTTAGTGTTTTACTTTTGACCCGAACAAAAACATTTTCTGGTATATATATGAGCTGATTTGGGTAAAAATGGAGATCTATTTCCATACAAGCTGCCCAATCGTGATCATCATGTTCTGCTCAAATTAAGATATTATTTTATAGAGCAAAGATTCATGAATTTTGACGCAAGCTGTTTTAAAAAATATTGAATCCTCGATCTTTTATGAACATTTCACGAAAAGTCTTAAAAATGATCATTTCAGCCAAGGTGGTCCTAATGTGGCCATATCTCAATAATGGCTAGACCGATTGAGCTGAAATTTTCTACAGACATATATCTCAATGAGTTCTACTCATAATAAAATTTTCGTTTCAAAATATTGAGCCGTTGGAATTTTATGAACCATTAAATACAGAGAAAAATCGACTTTTTAGGCAACTTTAGTGCTTCATAACTTTTGATTGGAATAAGGTAGAGGTCTGAAATTTTTACTGTAGATAGAGCACTGAGAGATCTGTCTCTCATAAAAATTTCAGCCTTCTATATTGGTCTGTTTGGTCAGAGAAGTCCTCTGAAAAATGAGTTTTTCATAAAAATGGGAGTTTGCGGGATAGGCTATCTCCTAAAATACGGATCAGTTTGGAAGCTCACCTTTAAAAGTTGGAAGTAGTCTCTGTGGCCTACAACTCTATACAAAAATTAGCGTGGGATTTCCAGAAATGGCTTGCATCGAAGGTCAGCTTGCCGAGGTCTTTATGAGGTAGATATCCATTTGAGTAGTTCCATCTTATAGAAACGTGTCAGCAGCCAAGCTGAAACGTTCAGCTATTGAATGCCTCACTACTCTAAGACTTTTGGTCAAAAAATATCCTACGAACTTTTAATCAACATCATGTTTTTTTTGAGATCACAAAACATCACCTTTTGGACCTATAATGGCCATTTTCTTGAATTTCAATCATTTTGTGGTATTGATTTTTTTCCATAACTACAAACAGCGATTGAAAATTTTCATATAGATATATAGTACTAAGCAGGGCTCGAAACGGGCCACATTTTTATGGCCTGGCCCAACTCAAGTATTGCTCAGCCCGGGTCCGAACGAAATTCTTTTTACATAGATTTGCTTTCTCAATAAAATTTGTAGATTACTATGGTAAGTCCGAATGTACATGGGAGCAAATACCCGGGGTTATTATGAGTTTGATTAGCCTAGATTCTCGAACCAAAAATAGAATCATTATGTAAGAAGTTGAATTGCTTGTTCAGTGAAACAAACAAAAATATTCAAAGTTTTTGAACTCGATAATGATCATTGTACATAGCACAATATCCTACGATACAATTTGTTAATTGAATTGCACCTGTGAAAGATTCACCGCATTTCTCAGTGAAAGTGTTTTTCTGTATTTCGACCATGCAATGAGTTAGTTAATGGTTAAAAGTAATTTGTGAACAAAAAAAAATTTATTCATATATTCATTTGAAACGAACTGTTGGAAAAAGTTCAGTATGTTGAAAAGAACTGTTCGAGCAGTTTTTTAGCTCATTTGAATGGAGTTCGTGGACCAAGCTGGTGGACCCCTATTGATATCCACAATTTGAACTCATATTGCGCCTTTAAGGACAACTTGATGAGACTTGTGAAAGTCTAAAAGAGTTCACGATCTCATGATCTTTTGCAGTTAAGTTATTACCATTTTATGGAATTTTCTATCTGAAATTTTGCAACATAGATAGATCTAATCATCTTTAGAATACTCTAAAAGTTTCACCCAAAAAGAGTACTTTTTTTGTCGAGATACTGAATTTCCAAAAAATCATCGTTTGCCACAGGCATGACATGTAAAAAAAATTGCGTTTACTTGACAAATTCAATATCTTCGCGAAAGAATATTCTTTTCAATTGAAGTTTTTTGAATATTCTAAGAGTGATAAAATCTATCCATGAACAAAGTTTCAGATCGAAAATTCATCATTTGACTGTCCAGTAAAAAGCTTAAAATTGCTCGAAAATATCATAAAAACTGCCATAACTGAACTTCAAAAGACCATGGATACGAACTCTTTTAGACTTTCGCTGGTCTTGTCAAAACATTCCGATCGATATAATATGAACTCAAACGATGGGTATCCGTTCGGATAGTTCACTCGTTATTTTATAAAACACCACAAGAATTTTCTTACAATAAATAACTATTATCTTTTCCGTCAAATAACATTATGTTTTTTTCTCTTAGTTGCATATACTTATTTATTGATTCAAGGAAAAAATATGAACAACCTTGTGTTTATGGGCTTATGTAAGTACGTATGTAAATAGTGTAGAAATTAAATGCAGCTAGTATTTCAGGAGTTCTTAATTTAATTTATTATCATATGAGCTTTCGACCAACCTAGTGGTCATCATCAGATAACACAACCAAAAAGGAGTTCATGAAATCGCGCAGAATCCTAGAACTGTTGTTGCCCTCAGAAGTTGCGATTATTGCTGAACTTCTAATTTAAAAAAAAGCAGACATTCAGCTTTATTAGATTCAACTCTGCTATTTCACAATTTTATTGCGTTGGTTGGACCCTGATGCAATCCATTTATTTACTTGGTTGTATATACTCTAATCTAGGCTTTTACAGGCA